GACGAGAGAAGTACATATCGCTCCCGATCAACACTAAAAATGTTTGCTTGAGCGAATGAAACTCTGGTTCTATATCTCAGCCGTGAATAATTCAGGAAGCACTGAAACAGTCCTGCGAACAATTGCTCAACGATGGCAAACAAGCCGAAGTGAAGCTTAATGAGTTCCGGTTGAAGCACGAGGAGGACCAGAATATCATTGCAGATCTCAAAAACGATATTGAACAGCTGGAAAAGGTTGGTTTGGTTGTGTGCTTTGTACATTCATTATCACATAGGGAGCGTGAATTGTAGCGCAGCCAGGGCAGCCTTTTCCTCTGAATGGTGCCATCCTCAGCTCGGCATCGTTGGAGAGGGCCTTGGTTACGCTCCAGTTCAGATCCCTTTACAGGCCCTCTTCTTTGCAAGACTAATGAGTAAAAATTTCTTCGAAGTGTAGTTAAAAGATAGCGCAAGTTATAGGAGGCGAGGGATATGGTGGCTCGAAATCGTCGATGGGAATTTGAACGAGACGAAGAAGTGAAAACGTTAACGGAGACCCTTATGAAGTTTGAAGCCACGCTAAAGGAGAAGGATTCCAGAATCAATGTGAGTTCAGGTGCCATTCGTCTTGGTGGGGCATATTGCTTTCTCCCTCAGACCGCTGCCGGTGAATTCTGTGGATACCTGTAAAAAAAACCCCGGGTGAGAGGCGAATTCAACAGTAACTAGCGAAAATACAAAATGCTTTCCTCATATTGGCCGAAAGGCGACCGGACAATGGGTCTCAAGAGAGGCCACTCCTCAGCATTGCCGAGCCACGTCATGTCTGCTCGTCTGCGGCCTCTCACCTCTACGACGTGACACGTTATAACACAGAGTTTCGTTGGGACGTTTCTGCATGCACCGTCTCATCTAGGCCTCGCGGTGTCAGAACAGAAGGACGCTGCCAGCTGCAGAAGACCCCTCATTTATTCGCTTCACACTCTAGTTTTTAAGATGTCACGACACCTTACCGTTGAACCGATTGGAAGAGACCACGGTGTGGGTGGAGAAGCACATTTCGTTCCCAACTAGAATATTTGAACGGCTTGTTTTCAGACAATTCAAGTGCAGTTGCTAGACTCACAGTCTCGAGCCGAACAGGCTGAGGCTGATCTCAAGGCTAAAGAACAAGCTTTGGTGAATACGGATCGACGAGTGCAGCAACTGCAAGCACAATTGGATGCCAAGGGAAATGTTGCTCACGAGGTCAGCTACCTAGACATTACTTGCATATGACATTGTCTTTTCTTTCTGATTGATCTTGTTGGGTGCTACTGCTGGTGTTGGTGTGTATTCCACGCTCATGGCATGGGTGGGGTCACTTAGTCGAGCGATTCAACTGACTCGCACTAAGTGTGCTGAATATGTCAACTTGAGGTCGTGGTCATTTCGAGTTTACCTCGATCTTTCTTCTGTGAACTTTTGTGAGGAGGCTTCGCAGGATCTGTTTGCCAACATCTTCCGAAACTAAGTGGCCTTGATGTCATCACAACCGGATAGTTATTCGTTAATCCCCCCCCCCTACCCAGGATCAGATTACTACTGCTCTG